TGAATTGGCTCGGGAGGGACGGTAGGAGGGATGCCCTCGTCCACAGCCGGACGCGGCCTTATCGCCACAACGACAGGAAAACGCCAAATTGGAGCTCGATCGGGCGCCATTCAAGGCGGGGTAGGGTCGGGCAGCAAGAGGACTTAATGGCGGAGACACAGGCGTGTGGAATTGAAAGGAGATGGCCACTCGCTGGTCAATTGCGTGGAGCGCGACTCCGATGGTGGCAGCAAAGAGAGAGAGGGAGAGAGACGGGCCGATAGGTGGCACAGCATGGCCTCGCCTTAGCGGGACGTCTCGGCGCAACCGGGAAGGCATGCACGCAGACGCAAAGGACAAACATGCGCGTCCCCAACCGGCCATGGCCCGCGCGGCGCAGCGCCATAAATGGCAAGGCAACGGCGAGCATGGTGAGGTGCGCACGGTAGTGGCGGCCTCGAACAGAGTCATACCTTGTATCCACCGGGAGGAAATGAGCGAACTTGGTAAGGCGATGCACAATGACCCAAATAGAGTCATACTCCTTTGCCGTGCGGGGCAAACCCACAACAAAGTCCATGGAAATATCCTCCAATTTCCAAACAGGGATAGGCAAGGGCTGTAGAAATCCAGGCGTAACCCTTCCACAAATGTCACATTCTGAGATGTATTTGGTAATATCATGTTTCATATTTGGCCACCAATACAAGTGACGCAAACCATGATACATCTTGTTACTTCCTGGATGAATGGATAATTTGGAGTCCTGGGCTTCATCCAAAAATTATCTCCTAAGCTTATCACTTGAGGGAACCACCAATCGGTTCTTGAACTTCACACCTTGATCATCAATACTGAAATGAGGACCACGCCCTTCGGCAATTAACTTCTTGATATGTGGAATTCTCAAAGCATCTTGCCAAATCGCCACAACGACAGGAAAACGCCAAATTGGAGCTCGATCGGACGCCATTCAAGGCGGGGTAGGGTCGGGAAGCAAGAGGACTTGATGGCGGAGACACAGGCATGCGGAATTGAAAGGAGATGACCACTCGCTGGTCAATTGCGTGGGGCGCGACTCCAACGGTGGCAACGGAGAGAGAGAAAAAGAGACTGGGCCGGTAGGTGGCACAACACGGCCTCACCTTAGCGGGACGTGCTTGGCGCGATCGGGAAGGCATGCGCGCAGACGCAAAGGACAAGCGTGTGCGTCCCTGATCGGCCATGGCCCGCACGGCGCAACACCATAAATGACAAGGCAACGGCGAGCACGGCCACGTGCGCACGGCAGTGGTGGCCTCGAACAGGGCTAGCAGCGGCGTAGAGGTGCAGAGAGAAGCGCGGATGTTACGGTGAGGCGACGGCGCTGGCAGCGACTGCGTCATGGCGTGGGGCGGGTCAGCAGTGCGGTAGCGCGGCGGGACAGCCAGTAGCGCTGCATGGCCACGCAAGCAGCAGCAGTGGCTCCCACACGGTAGAGGCCAGTGGCGACCAGGCCAGAGGCAGCCGCGGCCGGCCACACGCGGTAGCTCGCGCACGTGCGAGCGACCAGCGCGGCGACGGCGTGCGCCCGAGCGTGGTGACCGCGTCCACCCAGCCAACCAACCCAAGAACGTGTCGTGCACGCATTTTAAAGCACCTATAACAACTAAATGGTTGCTTCTGGACCTCAACCATGTTCACCATGCTCAAGATGGCATATGAGGCTACCAAACCGAGCTAAAACATAACACCTATTCTTAACCCGATTTGGTAAAATAAATTGCCAAACATGGCATTGTCTAGTTGTCTATATACTTAAAAGTCTTCTCTGAGCTGAATTTGATTCCAAGTTACATTTCTAGGCTATTAGAAATGTTGGCTAGCACTGTTATTTTTCCACGGCAAGTATTTCATTGTCATCTACAAAGTTCATATTCCAAACTTTATTTAGCGCCACATATATGTTCTATAGCATTTTCCTTGGGCCAGAAATTTCGAGGCGGGGTGTGCGCCTGGGCCAAAAGGCCAAGAGGAGGGGCGATCGGCTGGGTGTGGATAAGGCTACTCCCTCCTCCTCGTCTCTCACTCTCTTCCCCCATTTCCAAAAAAAACATTGAGATTCAGAAAAGTGCCCATGTTTTTTCCTCCTCTCCTCTCTCTCTCAAATTTTGGTGCTAACCCTAGTGAGAGATTGAGTATTCTAGTGGTTGATCTTGAGAGCTTGAAGAACACCTCCTCCCTCTCCTCTCCCTCTCTAAGCTTAGTGCTCATTTGTGTGAGAGGTTGGAAACCCTAGTACTTGCATTTGAGAGTTGCATTTGGTGGCACTAGGCAGGGGCGAAGCTACGCTTTGCTGTCGGGGTCAGTTGACCCCAGTGAATTTATGCAAACTAAGTGAGAATTACTGTTTTGCACTGTTCTCTAAAAGCAAAGACCCCAGTGTGAATTACACCTGACCCCGGCACTATTTTGGCCTGGCTACACCATTGGCACTAGGTAATCTTTGTGATTAGGGATTTTCGGTTACTCTTGGTGATTACCATCACCTAGCTTGGTGCTTGTGGTGGACCATGGAGAAAATCTTGGTGATTGTTGGTGTCTCCGTTCTTTGGCAATTGTGAGGGCTTTGTGCTTGTCCCTGCAGGAGATTTGCCAAGAGCAACTATAGTGACATCAATCCAGGTTTGGAGAGTTCCCTAGTGTTCTACTGGCATTCTAAGTGAAGTGGTGAACTTGGGATCCACCTCAACGGACCTTAGGGAAAAGTCATTGTGTCACTTGCCCCGTTGGTTTGCATTCTCAACACTTGCAATTTGTGACCGTTGTGAGGGTCGGACCCTGACACAATGGTCCGACGGTGTAGGCATCGGACGGTCCGACGGTGGCCAAAAAAGCCTGCGCGCCTCCAACGGCTACATCTTACATTTAGGGCTATAAATAACCGACCAAATGAAGTGAGCTAAAGGAAGACTTGTGTGAGTTGAGACTCATCTCTAGTTGCTCTAGCCACCAAAGTATTTAGTGATACACTGTGATTAGCGTAGGTGCTTTGCGAAGTGCTTATGTTAGTTAGACCCCCGCTTTTGCACTTACTCTAGGTTTAGGCCTAGTGTTTAGTGAGGTTTACATACCTCTTGATCATAAGGTGCTTGCACGCATCGTGCTTGTACTTGGAGTTGCTTGTAGTCTTGCGAGACCACACCAACCGTATTTGTGGTGTGGCCACCACCATGTACCGGAGGAAACGAGGCCTACGGTTCGGCTGAAAGCACGATAGTGAAGACAGCGGGGAGCAGTCCGGGAGAGGCATTCTAGAGACCCACTTGCGCATGAGGAAAGACCCGGTGCTATCCACAGAGTTACCCGACTAGGAGCTTGGCCCTTGCGAGAGGCTCCAACGAGGACTAAGGGGAAGCTTGCGCGCTTCTCAATACCTTGGTAAAAACACCGGCGTCGTCGAATGGGAGTTTGCATCTCTGTCGCCCTTTTACCTTCCGCATTTATATTGTGTACCTTGGTTGTATGCTTTACCATCCTAGCTTACTTGATAGGTTTGGAACCTAGGTTGCATGACTCTTTTGCGGTAGAGATAGCAACACTCCTAGCAAAACCGTAGTTGCACATCTAGGTAGTTTATCTTTGCATAGGTTTTGCTTAGGTTGAAATTAGAGGCCATAGTTTAGAAATAGTTTTTAAGTTGCCTAATCCACCCCTCTTAGGTGTCAACCCTCACCTTCAAGCACATTAAGTTAGCATTTTTCAAATGATTTTCAACTTTTTCACTTGCTTCTCACCACATCACTAAGTCTAATGCACATACATTGTTAGTCCTCACCTAGTGGCATTAGACAATTACAATTACTTTAGAGCTCCCCTCTTTATAATACGGCTATCTATTCTAAATCTGATCGTGTCCTCTATTGCACCTTGGCCTACAAAAGCAAAGCCCTGTCGAAATACCTTTGCCTTCGGCCTTGGTTACCATCTCTTCTCCGAGGTTGAGCACTTGCTTATGGCCATGATCATGGTCTCCACTGTCTCCTAGCCTTGCTCAAACCCATCATGTGGACCAAACTCAATCATATTTATTGAAAACATTAGTCCAATATTTGTCACTCAATTATCAAAACCAAATTAGGGCTTCCAGGAAAATGCATACCGGTGACGACAAGAGAGCGTACATAACGCAGATGCCAAAACGCATGCACATATTTTTAAATTCAAGAGATTACCCTACCCTCCCTCCGTTTTAAATTGTAATGTATTCTACCTTGTTTTATGTCTTTTACTATATATATTAGACATAATGTATATCTACATATTACCTCCGTCCCTAAAATAATACAATTATAGCATAGTGTCACGTTTTAGTACCTTAAGTTTGATCAATTATAGATAAAACAGTATCCATGTTTATGATATCAAATAAATACCATCAGATTAATTACGAAATGTATTTTTATAATAAATTAATTTAAAAACATAACTGTGAATATTATTCATTAAAAACTTAGTCAAACGTGAACTACTTTTTATGGCACGTAACCTATAGTTGCATTCTTTTCAGGACAGAGGTAGTACATAGCAAAATTATATAAATAGAAAAGTCGGAAGACTTGCAGTTTAGAAAGGAGGAAGTACTTATTATTTGTAAAGTCATACAGTTAGAGTCTGTTATTTATCTTTTTATTGAAAATTAGGTTGTTTTATACAGCTCTTGGAGATGCTCCAGCTAAAGCTCGTCCTCAACTAGGCTAATTGTCAGCTCTGTGTCTGCCAGCACTAAGTTCAGCAGTTAGTTGCCTTCTCGCTGCTTGCTGCCAGAAGGCATCGACGGCTATTCCACAATATGCATCTATCCACAGAAAATAAGGAAACGACACTGCGGTATATTTATCCATAAACAGGACGACCAAATCCAGAGCACCGTACAACCCACAGTCCATTTGTATGGTTTGGATAGAGCATCCTGAATCTGAACATTTTATTCATGGGACCTGACTCCACACATAATCACAGCACATAAAGTGGGGAATGGCTCAAGCAGATCCGAGGAAACGGCCCATCCAAGAAGAGAAGCGAGACCAGGCCAGGTCGACGGCTTCCTGGTTCTCATCAGTCAGACCCATCCCCTTCTTCCTCTTGAGGGCCTCAGGCGAAGTGTTCATGAAGGCATGTGAACATCCAGGGTATATGTGAACTTCATATGGTATCCCTGAAGATTTGAGCTTCTCCTCCAGGGACTTGGCTGCCTGAAACATCATATAAGATAGTAGTGTTAGATTCAAAGAATCCAATATACACATCATATGCTCTTCCTGTATTTTATGTTTGTTTGAGTAGTTATCAAGTAGAGAGACAATTTGGGAGCACCAGATACAAAACTAACATGCAGATATCGTATACAACCATGTTTCCACTTACTGCTATTACTAACACATAATGAGAAATATTAGTTATCCACCAAATGCTAGGCACATAACATTATAAAAGATTGCCATGAAGGCTACAACACTGACTTCACTCTTGCCCAGGCCTTGTTCACATGAAGAGTGAGATCTGGGCAATCCCAGTTTTCATGTAAACTTTTAGGCCTAATTATGAGTTTGCCCTCATGGAAATGTCTCCTAAAGAGATGCTGATGGTAATGACTACAGATGATGAAGTATATACATAAAAGATGAACCAAATGGCATGGTGGCAAACACTGAAACTACTAATTCCTTGCTCCAGCTTGGGTCTATTATAGTAAAGCTGTCCCTAGTAGCGAGAAGCTCTTTATAGGAGGTGATCTTAATGGCCATGTAAGTACGTCAAGTGCAGGTTTCGAGGCGGTTTATGGGGGTTTCGGATATGGTAGTAGGAACCAAGAGGGAGAGGAAGTCTTAGACTTCGCCATAGCTTTTGATCTGATGATAGTTAACACTTTCTTCCGTAACAGACAGTCCCATTTAGTGACATTTAGTAGCGGCCAGTACTCTAGTCAAATCGACTTTGTCCTTACAAGAACGAGGGATAAACGAACATGCGTGGACTGTAAGGTGATATCAGGAGAATGTGTGGTCGCTCAACACAAGCTGGTGGTGGCTGACTTCCACTTTCTGGTGCAAGCTCGTGGGAACAAACAAGCTAGGCTTGCTAGAACGAAGTGGTGGAAATTAGAAAGGGAGGCATCAAAGGTCTTTAAGGAAAAGGTCATTGAAGAGGACCCTTGGAATGATGAAGGCGATGCAAACAACATGTGGGAGAAGATGACAACATGCGTTCGGAAGGTTGCTTCAGAGGTGCTTGGAGTGACCAAAGGGAGTGGATGCGACTCGAAAGACACTTGGTGGTGGAATGAAGATGTGCAAAAGGCTATTAAGGAAAAGGAGTGCTATAAGCGCTTGTATCATGACAAGTGTGCAAACAACATAGAGAAGTATAAGGTGGCAAAGAAGACTGCCTTGATGGTATCCCAATCAAGGTGTGGAGATGTCTCGGTGATATAGCTATAGTATGGCTAACCAAGATGTTCAACAATATCTTTCGATCGAACAAGATGCTTGAGGAGTGGAGAAGAAGCATATTAGTACCAATCTACAAGAACAAGAGAGAGATCCAAGGTTGTACTACTTATCGAGGAATTAAGTTGATGAGCCACACTATGAAGTTATGGGAGAGAGTCATCGAGCAGCGCCTACGAGGAACGACGCAGATATCAACAAACCAATTTGGTTTCATGCCCGGAAGGTCAACCACAGAAGCAATCTTCTTAATAAGACAGGTTATGGAGCGGTTTAGAGGGTAGAAGGACCTTCACTTGGTTTTTATTGACTTGGAGAAGGCTTATGACAAGATACCAAGAAATGTTATGTGGTGATCTTTGAACAAACATAAAGTCCCATCAAAATACGTGACCCTCATCAAGGACATGTACAACAATGTTGTAACTAGTGTTCGAGCAAACGATGGTAACACAGATTACTTCCCGATTAAAATTGGACTTCATCAAGGGTCAGCCTTAAACCCGTATCTCTTTGCCTTGGTAATGGATGAGGTTACCAGGAACATACAAGGGGATATCCCTTGGTGTATGTTGTTCGTTGATGATGTAGTGTTAGTGGACAAAAGCCAGGCGGGAGTAAATAGGAAACTAGAGTTATGGCGGCAGACCCTTGAGTCTTAAAGGTTTTAGATTGAGCAGAACTAAAACCGAATACATGAGATGCGACTTTGGCGGAGTTGTACAGGAGGAGGGAGATGTGAGTTTGGAAGGTCAAGTAGTGCCTAAGAAGGATACTTTTCAGTATCTAGGATCGATGCTACAAATGGATAGAGATATTGATGCGGACGTTAGCCATAGAATCAAAGCAGGGTGGATCAAGTGGCGACAAGCTTCTGGCATTCTCTGTGACAAAAGAGTACCACAAAAGCTAAAAGGCAAATTCTATAGAACGGCGATTAGACCGGCTATGTTATATGGAGCAAAATGTTAGCCTACAAAGATTCGACATGTTCAACAACTAAGTGCTGTAGAAATGCGTATGTTGCGATGGATTTGCGGTCACACAAGAATAGATCGAGTTCGGAACGATGATATACGTGATCGCCTAGATGTAGCACCAATTAAAGAAAAGTTGTCCAACATCGGTTGAGATGGTTTGGCCATGTCCAAAGGAGCCCTCCAGAGGCACCAGTGCAATATGGAGTCCTAAGCCAAGCTAATAATATGAGGAGAGGTAGAGGAAGACCAAAATTGACATGGGGGAGGCAATAAAAAGATATTTGAAAGCTTGGGATATACCTAGAGATCTATGTTTGAATAGGAGTACTTGAAAAACAGCTATTGAAGTGTCTGAACCGTGACTTGGGGCTCTTGGTGGGTTTCAACTCTAGCCTACCCCAACTTGCTTGGGACTGAAAGGCTATGTTGTTGTTGTTGTTGATAAAAACTAATTTTATGAAACCTGGTGTGTACTGCTCTTGTAGTGTAGTCATGATTCTATCATGGGGGCAGTGCAATCCCAAGGTTCATCAACATTTGCCACATGAAGCATAGAAAATAATCTACTTTCTAAATCAAAAGGAACTTGGATATGGACAACAGTTGAGCTAAATAGAGACAACAATAAGAGCTAAATAGCAGCATCAATCGGTGAAAAGTATGCATTGTGAAAAACAAAAATACAAAACAGAAAGGGAAATCATGTATATTTGGCAAATGCCGTAGCAACAGAGATAAGTGACTTGTGAGGTATAGCCTTACAGTGACATCTGAAAAACCAACAAAACTGTCATGCTCCCCGAAATGAGCCTGTATAGGAGCCTTAGCCTTAGAAGGATCAGCAAGCTCAGAAGATGGTGTCCCATAGAAAGCAACAACAGCATCAACCTCTGGGACTAAAACTCCACTTGCAATTGATAAAGCACCTCCCATGCAATAGCCAGTAACACCAACCTAGTTACAAAAAGATGGAAAAGAAGGTTATCAACTTCTGATTAGTGTATATGTATGATGCTGTGCATGTTAATCACTACTCCCTCCGTCTCATGATAGTAGGCGTAACTGTTTTTCTTACTAGTCCCAGGATACAGGGCGCTTGCTCGGCTTGCATGCAGAATTTACTGCTGCTGGTTGTTGGACTAGTACTACTGCCGTCTCGTTAGCGCACGTCAGTTAGAGTAGACAGGAGAAAATTTCCATGCGCATGCATGCTTGCTGCCAGCCAGACGATTTGGTTAATGGTGACGTTTCCGCAGTTATATTTGGAGGTGGAAGTGAAGAGGCAGCATTTATTTAGAGACGGAACTGAAGAGACTCATACGGTAATTAGATGCTCCTTGGTCTTAGCGTTTTTTTGAGTTGCGCCTACTATCCTGAGAGACGGAGGAGGGAGTATAAAATAATACTGTATGGGTTATACCTTTATTCATGTTGTACTGGTTATGGTTAGACTGCTCTATAGCACAAATTCTGTACGGGGCACAAAATCCTATTCTAAATGTTTTTGGATCAGCAGTTCCTGCAAACTTTCAGGCACATGAAATGCCTTAGTTATTCAGACAAGTTTACACTGATTTTGTTTCATGAATTTGTTACTCGCTAGTCAGTAGCCTTGAGTCCTTACCACAATTAGGTAATTTGCACCGTGCATTAATCAGGCTAATCCTGATCCACGGATCCTATACTGTAGATGGAAATTCTTCAGCACACTATAAGGAGATTCAGGACCACAAAATATCTCAGAAAATAGAATTTTATGCGGTACAAGTTTACCATTAGCCTTTGTTCTTTTATGCATGGAGATCTACTCATAAAGCTTGAAAAGAAGATAACATAAGAGATTTGATTTTTGAGTATCTTTCTAGTATGGAAAAGTAAATGTTTTTTTAAGTATCTTTCTAGTATGGTGCTAGTGATAGATTCACAACAGTTAGTTCATTGAAACGATTTCCATGTAAGAATATATAACATACGATAACAGAAAATACAGATAGCAAATGACTAAGCAGAACAAAATAAAGAAACTCCTACCTTGGGTGATCCATTTGACTTCAGCCATTTAACTGAAGCCTGAATATCCTTGACTGCACCCTGCCAGTCGAGACCCTCCATCAGATGCTGTGCCTCAGCAACATCAAGAGCAACTTTTCCACGGTATAAACTGATAAGGGAAAAGAACATGTCAAGAGACGAAGTTCTTGGCCAAGTCACTATATTATAAGCAAGTATTGACATCTTAAGAAGCATTCATTTTATATGCTCAAGTGATAAACAGGTGGCAACACAAGACATGATCATACTCTGGAATGAGTGCTCTGTATCCTCCACCAAGTTGGGAAATGTGGATCGCATGGTTCTTTATCTCATAGTCAACTCCCCACCATTCTTGCAAAACCACAATTCCAGGAGCATTTTCTTTGCCAACAACATAGGCATCAAAAGTCTACAGGTTTACATTTGAATATGAGATAAACTGACCAAAGCAATAGAACTTGTTAGAACTGTATATGTAGCGTCTCAGGAAAACTTGTTATACATATAGACTTTTTGCTCACAGAAAAAAAAAGAGCGAAAGCATCCTTATCTAGCAATTCTTTTAGTATTCAAACTTTGGTAACAAGACAGCCATGTCGGGAGCTCCAAGCTCCAAGCTCCAAGCCAGCTGCACATGTCACCAAGACAAAAGCTAAGCTTTGCTACACTGTTTGCACCAAATTATCTGGCTGAAATCACATCTCCCTTATTTTTGCTATTTATACTCTGACCCTTTCATCTAGGATAGGATAAGGTCATAAGTTATACCAGAGAATCAATTTCGTATATAAATCTATGAAAATCTATCTAAGATATAGCATTCCATACATCACGTAGATCTTATTACTGAAATTCATGGTTATTCCAATCACATTGAAGTCAATTAGGTAATAAATAGTTGGCCAATCATTGAAGGACTAATGGTGTTTCTATTTCATTACAGGGCAAGTAAATATAAAAATGCGACGAAGTCAAAAATAAGATAGAAATCTGAAATAGTCAAGGTCAAAAATAGTGATTCTGTAAAATCCTCAATAAATCCGGGTTTCCTGGTAGTTTACTATAATACTGTAAGGGTGTACATAGTATAGAAAATTAGCAGACGAACAAACATAACAAAATCCAAAATTGAACTAAGCTGATAGGTAAGCATCTCCAAGAGTTTCCAAAAGCTACTCCCAATCTAGATTTTTTTCGTAAGATTGAAAAAAAAACTGCTCTCCAACAACTCCCTATCTCAACTCCCAATCTTTCCGCACTTGGGAAAATCGATCCAATCGCGCAGTGTGCATGCGTATCAACGTGCCAATCTGGAGGTGGAAGGATTTGAGAAGAATAAAGAGTAAGAGATAAAGAAAGTATAAAAGTGTTGTGATTTAGAAATAGTTCAGGATTTCCGATGCAAAATTTTCTTCTATATTTTAGGAGCAAGGTTCTACGAACTATTGGAGGAGAAGCCAACGAATATGTTCTGAACATGTTTTAGCCACTTCTAAAACTCATTGATTTACCAACTAATTTTTAAGACAGTAAATAACAGAATTGGATTCAACTAGTTTCCTGGCAACGTAGCAATTCCCTTACGGGTACTCTGTTGACACCACTTTTTTTTAGTAAATTGCACGGCCGGTCCTTAAAGTATTGGGCAGGTTTCATCTAAGTCCCCAAACTACGAAATCGCATGTTTGACTCCTCAATGTATCTAAGTGATTTCATCCAGGTCCAAAATAAACACGAGGAAGGTTAGAAGGTGATGTGGTCGTCCACGTGGTTAGCCACGTACCCGTGGGCTCGAGGCGCACTCGCCCAGCAGTCCATGGCCGCCGCCGGCAGCGACAGCCTCGCCACCAGCCGCGCTGGCCGCGGCGACCCTGGCCCACATCGCGCTCGACCTCCTCGCCCCGTGGCCACCTCTCCTCTGTTGTTCCTTTGGCCGGACGCCACCCCACCCCGTCCCGGCGCCCCACGCACGCGAGCGCTGCCCCAGCGCCTCCGCGTACGCGCGGCCGCGTGATCCGGCGCCTCCGTGGCTGACCCTACCTCACGGTGCCAGTGGTCGAGCGAGGGGAGGATTGGTGGCGGTGGAACGCGGCGCAGCAAGAGCTCGCTCGGCCATGGCGGACCGCAGCGGCGAGATTCCAAAATTCGTCACTCGTAGTGGATGGTTTGCAACGGGGTCACTTCCAGGGGCTACACGATAACTGTGCGCAGCTATGTGTGCGAGGAATTGGAGCGGGAGGCCTCGAGTTGCGCGAATTTGGAAACGGGGAGGTGGCGGTGTTTACTGGCGTCCATGGCGGTGACGGCGGCCACGAGTTTCTGGCTCGGTCAAGGCCGGCCAAGCTAAGAGAGCGTGCCAGCGTGGGTGCAGATGGGCCAGGCGCCGTTGGCCGTTGGTCATCGCGTAGCGACCGGACGGAGCGGAATATGCCTCGGCGAGGGGCGCACGCGCGCTGCCTCATCGGCTTGGCCTGGCGCGGCACACAGGATGGCGGCAGCGGCTTTTTGCAGCGGCGCTCACAGGCGGCCAGCGAGCAGGGCAGGGCGAGCAGGGCAGGGCGGGCAGCATGCAGGAGCGGCAGCGGCAGCGCGAACGCGGCAGCAGCGGCACCGCGGTGCAGGGTCAGCCTCAACCACCGAGGCGCCGAAGCACGCGGCCGCGCGTACGCGGAGGCGCTGGGGTAGAGCTCGCGTGCGAGGGGGTCGAGCGCGATGTGGGCTGGGGTCGCCACGGCCAACCGTTGCCAGCGGCGAGGCTGTCACTGTCGGCTGGACGAGCAGGCCTTGATCCCACGGGTACGTGGCTGACCACGTGGACAACCACGTCAGCTTCTAACCCTCCTCGTATCTATTTTGGATCTAAATGGGATAACTTAAATACATTAAGGAGCCAAACGTGTGATTTCGTATTTTAGGGACCCAAATGAAACTCGGCGGCAGCGCAGCGGCGAGAAGAGGAAAATACTAATTTACTACCTTTGGATTTTCCAAGCTAGAACTCCCATTAGTAGTTTTTTGTGTGTCTTTACCCAGGAGGATTGGTATATATATATATATATATATATATATAGGGATGAGAACCCCCTACCTCCACAACAACCAGTAATATGTTACTAATTTACTCTTCTTCTTTTTTTGCGAGCAGGTATTCTGTCGACACCATAACCACATGTGTTGCCCTTTTATCTTTTGCAAAGGAAAAAAAAACATGTTCCTTCGATAGACAAAAGAAAAGGCAAAGGAGAAAGCAGAGGAACCAAGAAAAGAAGCCAAAGTTGAAGAGGAAGAGGACAGGGAAGAATGATAAAAGAATCCATGCAAGCAAAAAAAAAGGATTATGTACGAAAATCATAAAATCGACTGATCATGCATAAGACAGCCCACCCACAAACACTCAATTCATCTCATTCATCTCATTATTACAAAGAAGCAAACTATCATTTGAGCTTCCTAAACGAGATCGAACGTAATTGGGAGAACCCTCAATGCCTGGCAGTCGACGGCAAATGCAAGTCGGATTCGAATGAAGAGTAGGTGGATTAAATGGAGGAAGGGCACCATAAACCCTGGAAGAGCCCTTTCGGTCGAACGGGCTGTGTGCGCGAAGAGACGGAGGGGAGAGGGGGGACGGGAGTGAAAGAAAAGGGTAACGTACGGTGTCCTCGCGCTGGATCTGGATCTTCTGGAACGGGGCGGTCGAGGAGTCGGTGGCCATGGCGGCGCGGGGGTGCTGGAGGCGGACGAGAGGGGAGCACGAGCGCAACGGGTTGGTGGTGCTGAAGAGGAAGGCGGAGGAGGCGCGGCGGAGCAGGTGCGCTGTGGCCATCCCTTTCCCTCCTGAGTCCTGACTCCTGACCTTGCTTCCGCAGGCCCGCACCGCAGTGCACCTAATCCAGGCTAGTTGCGTAATTTTCCCTTTTTTTCATTTTTATGGATATATATATTCCCTCCTCGTCTCGAAAAATATAACTCAGCACAGTACGGAATTAAAGTAATTTAAATTTAGCCAACTACATATAAAAATATAAATAGTTATGTCATTAAATAAGTATTATTGAATTTGTAATTAGATATATTTTATAATATATTTATTGTGTATTAAAAAATTAATATTTTTATTTATATACTATTTGGTTAAACTTTGAGCACTTTAATCGAGAAATGTGTCTAAATTTGTATTCCTTTCAAGACAGAAGTAGTAGCTGTTTAAAAATCTTTGCCACACCATTTTATATCTTTACAATTTTAACTAATTAGTATTTCTCATATCTTAGTTAGTAGAGTATGTTTATAGAGCTTTTCGTTTATGATCTGCAATAAGGACTTTCATTGCAGTATTTCCAAGAGTTATATAGAATAAAATTAAATGTGGTTGAAACATCTATTTTTAATGGAAAGATTCATTCTACGGTTTTATAGAATTTTAATTTGATGACTCATATAGAGTTGATAACCATGCCAAAAGAGTTTCATTTCCATAAAACTCAATTCTTCTCTCTCTTCTAAAAAAATATTGCCACATCATAACAAATGTTTATGTCGCGGCTTATTAAATACAAATCAAACTCTGATGAAGCTAACAAGAGTGGATGAACTCATTGATCCGAACACAGGTGGGTGGGACGAACAGTTGGTACGTGATACTTTCTAGGAAGAGGAAGCCGAGGCTATTTTGACAATCCCAAACGAAGAAGGCATGCTGAATTGGCTAGCTTGGCACTTCAATTAAAAGGGTCTTTTCTCTGTAAAATCGACATACAAGCTTGCTGTACAGATTAGCGACAACGAGGCTGGGCGGACAGCTGGGACTCTGCGGAGAGGAGCTTAGCGAAATTTCAATGCCCTTGGCACAAAATATGGTAGCTGAAAGTGCCAAACAAGGTCCAAATGTTCTTTTGGCGTTTCGTCCACAACAGCCTACCAGTTCGGAATAATCTAAAAAGAAGTAGCAAAACTGAAACAATCTGTTTGATGTGCAATAGATTTGACGAAGACTGCGACCACCTCTTTTTTATTGCAAAAGGCCAGGGAGTGTTGGCAGTCCATGCATGTGGAGGAGGTGCGGTGCAGTCCGGGGAAGGAAGTAGCTCTAAAGATATGGGCAATGTAACTGGATCTTCAACTGAAAATTGTGGTATGGCTTTGGAGGTGGTGGATGGCGAGGAATAAGGCAAATGCGGGAGAAAAGGGTGCGGAGTTGCTGGGGAGGTGTGCATCGCAGTGCAATACCATTTGAATGAGTTTGCAAAATTGAAAGGCTCAAACAAGCCCCGAAGTCAGGTTTCGCAACCAAAGTGAAAGTGTAACACCCTAAAATTCTCTTATTTGGAAATAGAGCTAAAATGATTTAATTCGGAATTTTTGTGCTCATGAAACCTAGGGAAATAATAATTTTTCATTAAATTAAAATTTATCATAGGGTGTAGCAACATTGTTGAGCATACATGCTGGTGCATATTATTTGTTGTAATGTGTGGCTTTGTATCAAATTCAAAATAATTCAAATTGCTTTTAAAAAGGGTTTTGAAATGGTTTGAAATAAAAGAAAAACAAAAGGAAAAGGAAAACTCTCCCCTTCTCAGTTTTGGCCCGAAGGCCCAGCTCCCTCGGCTCTCTCTCCCTCTTCCCTTTTCGGCTGGCGGCCAATTTCCCACCACCCGTGCCCCCCACTCTTTTTTAGAGACCCACCGGTTTTTTCCTCCCTTTTGCCACCAACGCATAGCAGGCGAGGCCCAAAGGTCTCATTGCTTCACCCGTAGGCCCAACTCCTAGCACGGCACACGTCACCAGGCTGGCCCAGCCAGCGAGCTGAGCCCGCGCGGAGGCCTTCCCTCCCCTTCCGCGTTTCACCGACAGGTGGACCTCGTAACATGTGTCGTTGATGCCCCGGGCCCGCTTGTCAGCGTCTTCCCCTACCTCTAGTCGTAGTCGAGCGGGACTCCATCCTGGGATAAGGAAAACGTCGCCGCCCTATTTCTTCTAGGATTTGGCGTGGCCTCCAAGCCCTGCGCTCCTATAAAGCCTGAGTCCGGACGCCGTGCCACCCCCATCCCCAAACCCTAGCACCGCCGCCTCGCCTCGAGCCAGCGGCCGCGAAACCCTAAGCGCCACAGAGCTCAGACTTGCCCTTCCACCGCTTTATCGCACCGTAAGCTCGCCACCGTGCTTCTCCGTGCCGTGGGCACGCCTACAGAGCTTTTCTCCTTCTCTTTTTCGCTTTCGGTTGGTCGCTAATCGCCACTGATCTTCACAGGAGCTCATCGCCCGCCATCTCAAGCCCCCTGCCATCTCCGTCCGCTCCCCGTCACCGAGATCGACCTAGGTGAGTTAGTCGTGGTCGCCTCGTCCTTCCTGTGCTTTTCTCGAGCCATTTTGTGGTCTCTAGTGCCCTAGCTGTGCGTGCCGGTGAGGTCCAGTCACCGTCGGCCATGTCTGTCGCCGCGCTGCTACTATAGCCGGTCGACTCCTCTCTCTCTCTCTCTCTCTCCTCTCCCTTCTAATCTCAGTCGTTCATCTCAGATCTAGTGGCCGAGATCGACCGATACCCTTTTGGCTAGCGTTTTTGCTAAAGAGCCCCTCCCTTTTCTAGATATCCAACCTGCAGTCCCTAGCTTAGAATTAAAATCCTATTTTGATTTATTTTAATTCGAAAATCAATCTCAGTATTTACAAAAGTGCCACTACTCTTATTTATGCAAAACTTCTCCGTTTCAACTCCATTTTGACCCATTCAAGTTACGTTAGATTCGTAATAACGTAAGCTACGTGTTAGTATCGATATTTTACATGCTTTGTGCTTTTCAATAAAATGTTAATTTCATCCATCTATATGCAATTAGTGTTTCAATTAAAAGCAACTTAGGCTCTCCACCTCAGTCTTTTGTAAATAAGATAAGATTAGTCCTATGCTGGTTTTCTAATATAAATATAATGTGGCTTAATACAACTTAGATATTTCTCTGAAATATCTTATACATGTTTTATATGATTAAAATAAATGAAGCTTAAAGCTTTTTCTCTCTTATGAAGTAAATCTTTCGATAGACGTTTCTTTTCACCGTAGCTTCGATTAGCGTGCTCTTTCGCGTCTGTATGCTCATAGCAATGCGTAGATTAGTTTTCAAACCTTTTTATTGAATTGATGTACTATTCTAATTTAGTTCTATTGTTTGTTTTCTGTGTGATTGCATGGATGCTTGTGTAGTGTTTTATAATCTTGTCCAGTCGGTGAGAAGTACGTTGGTGATATAGAAGAAGTTGGTAATCCAGAAGAAGAAGTTATTTGGAGGTTACAATTTAGTAGAAGAATGATATGAGTTTAAGGCAAGTATAGCATGTGATCATCCTTGTTGTCCTATTCACTTTAATAATTTAATCATATGCATGTGTCTACTTTGACAACCGTAGTAATTTTTCTAGCTATTTGATATCCTGGATTCCTTGTCACCTATGAGTTATTGCATTGGGTAGTATGATGCTAGTGCTCAACTAAAGCCATGATCTTGTAACTTGACTAATAAAATATGCAATAAACACTAAAAGATAACTTTTAGCAACATGGTTAAAGGGGGCTGGAGTGTTTGGCTACTTTCCAGATGCTCTAGATTTCTTTCTCTAAGAACTTATCTGTAAGTGATTATCTAGGACTTACAATATAACAGTGAGGGCCACATGGCTCTGATTTTATTTAAGTATGATGACATTTTTCTAGCTTGTTAGTGGTTACCTTCATGGCGTAAAAGGGGCTTGCTGAATCGGGTATAGTGCGGCCTTTGTCTTTATGTGTATAGCCTACGTGGAATGTGCCGTTTAGAAGGGAAGCTCTACATCTGTTTGCCAATTGAAATCCTAGCGGCCCTAACTTGTTAGACGAACCTTTAAAAGGCTTCATAGTGTACCCTGTCTGCTCATCTTGGTAGTGTTTTGGGGACTTGTAAACCTCGGAAAAATGAAAAACACGACTCATAGTGAAAGTATATAACCTCTGCAGAGTGTAAAACTGTTATAACAACCGCGTTTATGGTCACGAGCGGCCTTGGAACCCTTATAAAATAGATGATCACAATTAATTATTTATTTATGCTATTCATTATTCATGTTTATCTGATCATGTGTTTACATGTGCTTGTGATAAACTTGTTGCTACTCAAATTGCTAAAAGATGACTCAGTAAAAGCTAATGCAGTTAAACCGGTGTCAATCTTTTGAGCCTCATGTACCCCATATTATATTTGTTGACTACGATATGTACCTATACTTGCTTGTTTATTTTTATTATTTGGATAAAAATTTCGGATGGGTACCAGATTGCTAGTCTGAAGGAGTTAGGCTTATGTCCAACCCGTCAGTTATCCCTGTGGTGTTGGTGACTACACCGAAGATCGGAGTTGTCCTACCGCTGCCTGCTGTCTAAGGTTATATCATTTAAACAAAATATGTTATATATTAAGTATTGTCTCATGATATTATTCTTATTTGTAGCTATATATGAGATTTGACTTCCTAGACTCACGTATGGTGTGCATCTGATTTTATCCTTAAAAGCGGGTACTATGGAAAGCCACCACAGGAAGAGCACTACAAGCTAAATGTTGATGTGGCGTTCTCGACCTTAACAAGGATGGGAGGTTGGCATTATGTGTCAAGGGACAGCACAGGATCCGTGAAAGACATTGGGGCGGGCTTCATCCAAGGTCTGTTTAGTTTCAGAAAATTTTGTAAAATTTTTCAAGATTCCCCATCACATCGAATCTTTGACGCATTCATAAAGCATTAAATATAAATAAAAAATAAAACTAATTACACAGTTTAGACGAAATTCAGGAGACGAATCTTTTAAGCCTAATTAGACTATGATTGAACACTAATTGCTAAATAACAACGAAAAGTGCTACAGTGACATTTTGCAAAGATTTTTGCCGTCTAAACAGGCCCCAAAGAGCTGCAAGTGTCCTTCACGATGAAGCTCTGGCAGCTTGCTACGGTCTGGACAGAGTAGCACAGCGAGCTGCAAGTGTCCTTCGTGATGAAGCTCTGGCAGCTTCCTACGGTCTGGACAGAGTAGCACAGCGAGCTGCAAGTGTCCTTCGGTCTAGACAGAGTAGCACAGCTGCAATTGACAAGGACTATTCTGGGACTGACACCTCAAAGTCGGGCGAAGCTTTGACAATAAATCTACTGGATTGTGGCCCGGAAGGTGCTCTTTTTAGATAAATTCGTGAAATTATGGATAGCAACTTTATATCCCGTTCCATCTCAATTTGTCCTAGAACCTGTAATAGGTGGCCGATTGTATGGCCAGCCATGGTGGGCATCCGTTCTGGTGCCATGCACCTGTAACCGAATTCGTCTCCGGCGACGTGTGGCAGGAGTTCTGGTCTATAATAAAGCGCTTTGAGATTAAGAAAAAAAATTCCTTTTCTATGGCAGAGAGACTGAGCGAGCAACTTTTTTTTTTTTTTGACGACAGACTGGAATTTGTCAAAAACAAACCTAGCCCAACAGCGGCCCGAATCGAGCGCCGCCGCCTTGCTCTCGGCTCCACCACTGCCCTCCGTCTCTGTCCCCGCCTCGCCGCCGGAGACGCGCAAGCTTAGGGCTAGCAACCGTTCGCGCTGACAGAGTACCCGCAGGCCCGGCATGGAAAAGAAGATTCGCAGCGCCGATGGCACCTCGATGCCGGCCAGGTCCATGAACCAGGCCGTGTCGCTCCGCGAGGAGACCTCCGGGAGGACGCACGTAGACGATGCCTCCCTGCTGAGGGTCAAGCACTTGCAGAGGCTAGCGGCGTGGGCGGGCGCGGAGGCCGGGGTGGGCCCGATCGGCGCGCTGCTGGGGCGCCGCCTCGCCGCGAGCGCCGAGGCCGCCGGAGTACCCCTCGACGCCGCCACTTTCCTTTGCCAGAGGTGACATGAGAGTTGCTGCTTACTTTACTACTACGCCTTATCCATCCTCTTTGCATGTTGTCTAGCCGCCAGGGCACCGCACCTTGTCTTGTACTGGCTGTTATACATTGGGGAATGTATTGTTGTCAATTGTAAGACAGATTGATCTTCTGCTAGTGACTCTATGTCTATGCATATGTTCGACAATGTAACTTTTAGACTAACTATAATTCTTTCCTATCAAGCTGAAAACATAGTGGCGTAGTGGCGCCGACAACAATACTTGATGACAGTTAACAAGCAGTTATATTGTTTTGTCAGGATATAGATATTATTTCTGATATCCATACTTCGTTAACGTCATTTTCTATGTTTTGATTAGCGCTGTATTATCTGCTAGTGGAGGACTTGTATGTAATTGTTAAATTGTAAGCAGCCATACCATTATGTATAATTCATTTCTATGAGACAGAATTATCAAAGATTTTAAGGTCTATTGGAAATGATTAAAAAAACGGCTGTAACCAATATGTCAGCTTGTCTGGGGTTGTAAAGGATTTTGGTAACTGTTGCAAGGCCTTGAGCATATCTTTCTCAGCCTTTGTCTTTGCAAATGGATATTTCTCGACTCTCATGTTTAACTGGATTTTGTGCTAATCTCCACTCAATCACAGATAACAATATTTGTCAAGATACATGGATGAACAATTAATATATTAATATATTTCAGTGGTTTATGTGATGTGATAAAAAAATCCATTTCATCAATAAAGTTTCTGATAACCATTTGACATGTCCTAATAAACATTGGTTGGGTGGTTCAAATGTATGGTCGATCGTGATAGTTATAATCCTGCTGCTTATTAACACACACTGCATGCCAGGTTGGTTCTTGGTCAACATTCATAATACCATAGAAGTAGTGATAAAATTGTATCGGATCTGAACGGATATTATGGATGCTGAATGCAGGTAGTTGTTTCTTTTTGGGATTCGGAGTTGGATAGAGATAGTGTCGGATGCGTCGGATATTGATACCTATCCCATAATTCCGACTGAGTATTTGGATTCATACGGTACTGGATTCAGATATAGATTATCCATTTAGTATTCAAACCCTTTTGGGACAGATGGATATTGGGAAATATCCATCCCGCTTTCATCCCTACATAGAAGCAAAAGGTTTCATTGCACCCTGATTGGTTGTTCTTCCTTGTGTCCTGTAACTAGTCAGCTGTGAGACAAACATGAGTCTGCATGTACCTCATTAGTTTACGACAAGCGAAGTAAAATGAAAATGATGTATGCCAATGATCATGTGTGCCTGTCTGCACATACTCATTAGTTTATTATCAGCAAAGTAAAATTAAAATGTTGTGATGACAATGAGGGTGTGCCTTTTCCATTTAGCATGGCCTGCTGACAAAATTTCTATCTTATTCAACCATTACTCTTGGAATTCAGATATATTATGTGAAATTTAGTTGTATCAAATAACTAAGAATACTTTCATGAGCTAGAAGGAAGCTTGAAATTAAATTAAAATAATAAAGTATCCCAGATGGGATGCAATACAATATTAGTGTCCAGGCCAAAGTGATTCTGGAATTCCAAAAATTAGTGAAAATCATCTGTAATTCTGGTAGAGTATGTTGTGTTTGTTTCAGATCGTAGTCATGCTATTCTGTCTGTTTTCTACTAGTATTTGGTAACTTCTGTCTATTCACAGCCCTTATTTCAGCCTACAGAAATATCTCAGTACACAGATCTGTAACAAGATGTTTCCAATATTGCAGGTGTGAGACAATCTTAAAGCCAGGCTTCAACTGCACTGTCCGCATAAGGAACAAGAGAAATAAAGCAAAACGTCGGAAGAAATCAAACTGTTGTCAGAACAGTGTTTCCTATGCATGCCATTTCTGTGGAGATCAGAACCTAATATTGGGTAGTGGGAAGGGTGTTGTTAAGAGCCTGTTACCATCAAGAGAGCATGCTACTATGAACTCATCCCATAGAATTATGAGAGGAAACAATAACAACACAAGGACACATGATAAGAAAGAAGTGCTTGAGCTTTCTCAAGCAGCAATTTTGCAAGTGGAATTGTCATCTCTGTTGAGACGGTCAACTTCTGAAAGTGATGAGCATGGCGAAAGGTTAAAATGTAATCTTGATGAACAGATGTATGAAATTGACCCTATTTCTTCTGAGAAGGTTAAAATATGTGAAGCTACTTCGCAAGCAGAACTTCCAGTTGGTTCATCATTTGTCACACCTCAGAAAAAGAAACCGCTGGTGGCGACTGTCCCTAAATATTCAGCAGGACTACTCAAGACAGGAAGTAGCGTGATTTCTGGCTCAGTCACCGACACCCTTTCAGGCTCTAGCAGGTCTGCCTCAAATGACTCTAGAAATAATGTGAAATATGCAGCAAAGGGTTCTTCACAGGTTTCTGGCAGCTCAAGGAAGCGGGCAAGAAAGGGGTGGACGACACTGAAACAGATAGCTGAGAAGGATGAGCTCGAAAGGAAGGAGAAGATGGGTAATTTTGTAATCCCGTTCTTCATGCAGTAAGTGGAATGTTAAAATATTTGCCCACATTGTAATCGTTTTTGGTCATTAGTTTATCTATTGAGAAGGACAATGTAATTTTGGGAGAGAGAGAGAGAGGACAATGTAATTTTGAGAGAGAGAGAGAAGAGAGAAGAAGAGAGAAGAATTGAGGTTACCAAATTCTGGTTGAATGTTCTAATGTTGCATGCAACAGATTATTTTATCAAGACAGCTCAGGTATAAGGGAAAAATCCCATTTTGAATTAGCAATATGTGATTAAAGGGAAACACATTCAAGACGAGCCATCAGCCATAGCAACATTAGATTTTGTTGCGGTGGAATTGTCTACATTCAACCAGAACTTGGTAACCCAACTGCACATTACGCCCAAAATGACATTGTCAGCAACAGATTCTAGACGAGCCGTGTCAACATTCAAGATGAACCTAAGAACAGAACATTTTAAGTCTTCCTCATCATGGAGTAGAAAAACTAAGCAAAGGTAAAAATCACTTCCTCGTCAAGGAGCTTAACTACATAGCCAATTCTCAGCAAAATCAAATGAACCATGCCACATAAAAAAGGCCGAGTTGTAAGACCAGGACTTCTATGGTTCCAATAAAGAAAATTCACTTCCAACACTCACCACATGGTGACAGGACTTTGGTGGCAACATAAGCCAAGAGTGGCTGGCGGCAGTTAAGCTATGCCGGCCACAAACATAAAGGCATGATGCAGAGCAACTGAGCAAGAGGCAGGCAATGGCGCATAGGATGAGCCCAACATGTAACATATTCCTTGGCGTTTAAAACCGTAGCGAAGCATGAGAAATACTCGGCCTTCCAGCAGTTAAGCAGCGCATCAGCACAAGGAATGCATGCCATTTGATTCTGAATTTCTGACAAGAACAAACAAGAGAGCCACGCTACAGCACCCAGCCATCCAGATAAAACAAAATGAACTGAATAATTTTCTTATGAGTTACAAAAGCCATTCAGTCACTGCTACTGTTGTATATCTCAAATGAGGACATGGAAACATCGATAGTTGCTCAAGCATGGATACATCACTTCACCAATAAAAACTGAATCAACTGCAGCATGTCTCCAGCCTTCATGCTTTCACGTTCTATCTTTGGAGGTTATTCTCATCATGTTTGGTCGACTGACCACTCTTTCACTCCCTGTGACAAAACCAAAACCAATTTTTGGAGAATCAGAAACCTTACACAAACGACAAAAAGCAAGTAATGAGTTCTAAAGCACAGTATTAAGGCCTAGTCCTTTTATGAGGGCTATGCCTTCGGTAAGTTTTTGGTGTCATGTTGAGATCCAAAAAATTATTGATCCACTTAGGACCTAGGTGGCTAGGTGCACGGCCAATAGACCACTCTTTTCATTCCCTGTGATAACCAAAACCAATTTTTGGAGAATGAATAGATTTTATTTCACAAAGACCAAAAGCATGTTTCTTGAGTTCTAAAGCACAATGTTAAGACCTCTTTTATGAGGGCTATGCCTTTCATAGGTTTTGGTGTTATGTTAATCCAAAGAATTATCGATCAACCTAGGTGAAGGGAAACACAAAGCTAAGTAACAACAGTATTGTAAAGTAATCTGCTGCTCTCCCTCTGTACGCGCGGCAGGGGCAGGCGCCGAAATGGCTCCCCTACTGCTGCACTGTAGCCGCGGTAGGGGCAGGTACCGAAAGGCTCCCCTGCCGCACTGTAGCCACAGCAGGCTCCAAAGTCAGCCCTGCTGTCACATCTATTCATTGTAGCAGCCTGGCATGTCTGTGTACTAGGATTAGATGGGTAGAGTTGTATATATAGCTTCCCACTGTAACTCAGTAAAGAGAGTGAGTTCAGTTTTGTCATCTCCTGTGCAGAGCTTCGGCCAAGCTGGTGCTTGTGCTGTGTGTGCGCACGCTCTGTTCTCTCTCCCTCTTCTACCTCCAGCCGTAGTGTGTGTGGTCGGCAACGACGGTGAGCGATCGGCTCACCCGTGCGGGAGATCTCGGGACTAACAAGTGGTTTCAGAGCCGTACAAGCGCCGTCGCCGGACTAACCGCTAGCGATGACGGACGGTTTGGAGATGGGCGACAGCAACGGCGCTGCTGTAGCTGCCCAGCCACGACATGAGGTCGTCGTGCACACGGTGCGGGAGGTCAGCGGCACCAGTTGGCCGACGCTGACTCGCACTAACTATGGAGAGTGGGCGGTGACCATGAAGGTCAAGCTCAAAGCCCGACGGCTCTGGAATGCCATTGACAAGGGCACCGACAGCAAAGAAGACGACATGTCAGCGTTAAAGCCTATCCTCGCTGCTGTGCCAGTAGAGTACAGGGAACCGTTGGGGGCGAAGAACTCTGCTAAGGAGGCGTGGGAGGCCATTGCAGCGATGCGCGTCGGCTCCGACCGCGCAAAGAAGGCAACGACCCAGCTGCTGAAGCAGGAGTACGCCACCCTCAAGTTCAAGGATGGTGAGTCGGTGGAGGACTTCTCGCTCCGCCTGTAGTTGCTCATCAACAAGCTGAGGAGCCACGACGTCACCATCGATGAAGAAGAGGCGGTCTCCAAGTACCTCCACTCCGTGCCGGTGAAGTACATCCAGATCGTTCTCTCCATAGAGACGATGCTGGACTTGTCCACCCACACCATTGAGGATGTGTCCGACCGTCTACGGGCGGTGGACGAGCACATGGAGCAGGCCACAGCAACGATGGACAGCGGCAAGCTGCTGCTGACAGAGGAGTGGGCTGCCCGGATGAAGAAGTCCGGGGAAGCCTCCTCCAGCCGCGGTGGCGATGGCAAGCGCCGCGGTAAGGTTTCTTCGGAGAAGAAGAAGAAGAAGGTCGACCCCACCGCCTGCCGACGCTGTGGGAAGACGGGCCATTGGGCAAAGGAGTGCCCAAATCGCAAGCAGGAGAAGAAGGCTGAGGCTCATTTAGCGCAGGCTGATGAGGATGATGAGTCCACTCTCTTGATGGCGATGTTCTGTGCACTGCACGACGTTGAGGCCAAGGAGAAGGGAGAGGTGATGGCGGTGGAAGGGCACGGCAAGGCTCTAAAGGCTGTCAACCTCGACGAACCGCGCGCTCAAGTCCACCTCGGACGTGTGGGCGGTGAGCAGGAGCAGCGATAGTACCTGGACTCCAGCGCCAGCAACCACATGACGGGCTCTAAGGCAGCCTTCTCCGAGCTCGACGGCAGCATGATTGACACGGTGAAGTTTGGTGACGGCTCAAGTGTGGCGATCCGAGGGCACGACACCATCATCTTCAGGTGCCAGAATGGCGAGCACCGCACGCTGACGGATGTATATTACATCCCGCAGCTACGTTCAAGCATCATCAGCATTGGCCAGCTGGATGAGCGCGACAACGAGGTACTGATCAAGGATGGCGTCCTCAGGATCAGGGACCGGGAGCAGTGGGTTCTTGCCAAGGTGAAGAGGTCCCAGAACCGACTGTACCTGCTTGACTTGAAGGTGGAACAACCGGTGTGCCTAGCAGCACGGCACATCGAGGAACCGTGGCTATGGCATGCCTGTTTCGGCCATCTCAGCTTTGACGCGCTCGGTCGGCTAGAGAAGATGGTCCGAGGGCTGCCCCACATCAAGCACGTAGGCGAGCTGTGTGACAGCTGCCTAGCCGAGAAGCAGAGGAGGCTGCCGGTCCCAAAGGCGGCCAAGTATCGCGCGGCGGACGTTCTCGAGCTCATCCACGATGATCTCTGCGTGTCAATCACGTCAGCCACAAACGGTGGTCTGCGATACTTCCTCCTACTCGTGGATGATTGTAGTCGCTATATGTGGCTGTAACTCCTGACGAGCAAGGATGAGGCGGTTGAGGCGATCAAGAAGTTCAAGGCACGCGCGGAGACGGAGAGCGGCAAGACGCTGCGCGTGCTACGGACGGATCGTGGCAGCGAATTCACTTCAGTGGAGTTCGCTGCGTACTGCGCGGATCAGGGTGTGGTGCGACACCACATCGCGCCATACTACCACAACAGAATGGCATGGTGGAGCGGCGGAACCAGATGGTGGTCGGCATGGCTTGATCCATGATGAAAGCCAAGAGCATGCCAGCAACGTTCTGGGGTGCGCGGTAGAGGCTAGTGGCGACCAGGCCAGAGGCAGCCGCGGCCGGCCACACGCGGTAGCACGCTCACGCGCGAGCGACCAGCGTGGCGACGGCGTGCGCCCGAGCATGGTGACCGCGTCCACCCGGCAAACCAACCCAAGAACGTGTCGTGCACGCAATTTAAAGCACCTATAACAACTAAACGGTTGCTTCTAGACCTAAACCATATTCACCATGCTCAAGATGGCATATGCGGCTACCAAACCGAGCTAAAACATAACACCTATTCTTAACCCGATTTCGCAAAATAAATTGCCAAACATGGCATTGTCTAGCTGTCTATATACTTAAAAATCTTCTCTGAGCTGAATTTGATTCCAAGTTGCATTTCTAGGCTATTAGAAATATTGGCTAGCACTATTGTTTTTCTACGGCAAGTATTTCATTGTCATCTACAAAGTTCGTATTCCAAACTTTATTTAGCGCCACATATATGTTCTATAGCATTTTTGTTCAATAAAAATTAGTTTGAAACCCTACTTGATACATATGAGTTATGGAATAGCTTATCATTTAACATTTTTATTGATCATCTGAAGTTACAAAAATGTTATCTACACATTCCATCACATACATTATCACATAAACATGATGCTTGTGACATGATTTAGTAGTTGTTTAGGGCGTAACACCGAGGGTGTTACAGCTCTACCCCCCTTAAACAAAATCTTGTCCTGAGATTTTATGTGTGTGCCTAGTGTGGGAAAGAGATAAGAAATAAATTTTAATTTACATAATTACCTTGGTGAACTAGAAAGGAGATGGGGATAATGCTCCAGAATATAACTCTCCTGTTCCCAAGTTGCTTCGTCCTCCGAATGATTTTGCCATTAGACTTTATAGAATTTTACCACTTTGTTCCTAGTGACTCTCTCTT